GGAATCTTTACTTGGATATTCTTTTCTTTTGGGACTGGTTATCATGCATTAAAAAAAAAATCTCAGATTTTCTCTGAGAAACTCCAAAGGACATAGGTAAGAGATTGAAGCCTTTTCAAAGAGCCTTAGATTCCACTACTTTTGGCAATTCCATATGATCCACCAGGAGTTCACTGACATATATATGAACAAATTTATCTCATAATTTCCGCTATTTCAATCAAGGTCATCTATGATTAAATTAAAATGAGTTGTGATAATAAAATACTTCTTGGATACAGTGACTTTATATTCAAGTTTATCAAAAGACAAATAATAATCTATTTCATTTTTATGAAAAACACTCAAAGTACTCACTTTTTTTTACATTATTATCAACAATAATTCAGCCCAAAAAGTATAAAATGAAAATAAGATGCTTCTACTTGTGCATGTATTATCTACCATCTATAAATTTGTTGCTTTTCTAAACTAAACAATTTCATAATTTTAAAGTGGCATCATCTACTGTATACCTCTCATGAAAAGAAATGTTTATTTCACAGGATATTGTACTGAAAGCATAAAAGGCCAAATTATAGTCACAGACAACTTTTCTGATTTTCTGATCTAGTGTTTTTTTTTTTTTTACACATTGAATTAAAAACAAAAAACAAAACAAAACATGTATCAATCTTGATAACATTGCAATTTATAACCAATACACTGGCTATCATTTCCTAGAACTAATGGGCTGTATTCTTACAAAAGAAAAAAAACAACACATCCAATACAAATGGTATTTATTTCCATTCTCTAAAGACTGATGAGGAAGTCTTCACCAGTGCAGGTGAAAAGTAGCTGAAGTTCTACTCCAACCAAAGAAGTACAACTTTGTACATGATCTGTGATCCATGTGCTATATATACAATTGTTTTCTTATGTCTGCTGCCACTATGGCAAGACACTTACTCGGGTGAAAGATCATGACTTTACAAACATGGGATGAAGGACATATGAAATGATCTGCAGATGATTAGGATACAGTTATACTATAAGCGCCTGAAATACATCAGTATGAACCAAGACTGCCTAATGCAGCATTAGTCCTAGCTACTCTGAGTGCTGGCCTGAGCCATTGTCAGGGGGTTTTCTTATAGTAGTGTTCATTACCCTCTGAATTATATTCTTTCACCGTTAGCTTTCACCGTCACGATTATGACACAATCGCAGATTATAGCTTAGTTTTTGCCTTCTATCACTCAAAGCAAAAGAAGTAGGGGTTTGGGGCAGTAGTTTCTACTTCCACTTTTGTCGTAACATTTAGCACTCACATTGTAGGCATTGACATCAAGAGAACCCAGGTTCTGAAAGACCCTTAACTAGCTTATTTTCTACTATGTTTAATGGAAAGCCAGACACTCGTGCAACTGCATATTCTAAAAACAAGAGATGAGCATCACTGAAATAGCACAAATAAATCAATACTAAAGTAATAATAACAATGAAAAAATAATAAGCAATAATGAAAATGATAACAGTAATAATATTCATAATAATAATAACAGTAAGAGTGATAGTAAGTGGTGGTGGTAGTGATGATGATGATGATAATAATAATAATAATAATAATAATAATAATAATAATAATAATAACAACAATTATAATAACACCAACAGTAAATAAAACCAAGGTTTCATGCAATCACAAAGTGTGTGGCTCTCCACACCCTTATCAGTTAAGTCAATCACACTCATGCATAGCAGAAACATATCCTGTAAAAAACAAAAAACGAAAAAGAGATAAAGTATACGATGGTAATAATGACTAAGGAAAAAAAGAAAAAGACAAAAAAAAAAAATAATTAAAAATTAGAAAAACAAATTGAAATCATATGAAAGAGTGTGGACCTACAACATAAAAGACCCCATGCATGTGGGTATCTAGCTTTAGATAGAGAAGGAGATCTTGGGCCGCGCATTGTTCTTCCCAAGGATGATCTTTTGCTCCTCACGTGTCCGCTTTTCCTGCTCCCTCTTGATTTTCTGCCGCTCCTCATCAATCTTTCGCTGCTCCTCTACCATCTGTAGCTGCTGCTCAGCCTGAAATGAGAGCCAATGCTTTGCCGATTTCTGCTGGTTTGGTTTGGTTTTCAACTTACAAGTTCGTTTTTCACCCCATTATCGACACTAACTCCTGGAGGTCCCTTTGCACTGCATCTCAGCCTTTATGAACTTACCAATTTCATCTGGGCAATCTCTATTTTTCTTTTGTTCTCTTCCATAATTCGCTCCAGTTCCTCCCGCTGTTTACGTTCCTCCTCCTAGAAAGTAGAATGAGGCGTCAAATACGCATCAGGTGAGGTCAATTCAAAATTTTTTTAAAAAGCCAGTTGCCAGAAGCCTCTTCACTCTTTCAACCCAAGTAATATCAATGAAACGTTTTTTTTTTTTTTTTTACATTATTATCAACAATAATTCAGCCCAAAAATTATAAAATGAAAATAAGATGCTTCTACTTGTGCATGTATTATCTACCATCTATAAATTTGTTGCTTTTCTAAACTAAACAATTTCATAATTTTAATGTGGCATCATCTACTGTATACCTCTCATGAAAAGAAATGTTTATTTCACAGGATATTGTACTGAAAGCATAAAAGGCCAAATTATAGTCACAGACAACTTTTCTGATTTCCTGATCTAGTGTTTTTTTTTTTTTTACATTATTATCAACAATAATTCAGCCCAAAAATTATAAAATGAAAATAAGATGCTTCTACTTGTGCATGTATTATCTACCATCTATAAATTTGTTGCTTTTCTAAACTAAACAATTTCATAATTTTAATGTGGCATCATCTACTGTATACCTCTCATGAAAAGAAATGTTTATTTCACAGGATATTGTACTGAAAGCATAAAAGGCCAAATTATAGTCACAGACAACTTTTCTGATTTCCTGATCTAGTGTTTTTTTTTTTACACATTGAATTAAAAACAAAAAACAAAACAAAACATGTATCAATCTTGATAACATTGCAATTTATAACCAATACACTGGCTATCATTTCCTAGAACTAATGGGCTGTATTCTTACAAAAGAAAAAAAACAACACATCCAATACAAATGGTATTTATTTCCATTCTCTAAAGACTGATGAGGAAGTCTTCACCAGTGCAGGTGAAAAGTAGCTGAAGTTCTACTCCAACCAAAGAAGTACAACTTTGTACATGATCTGTGATCCATGTGCTATATATACAATTGTTTTCTTATGTCTGCTGCCACTATGGCAAGACACTTACTCGGGTGAAAGATCATGACTTTACAAACATGGGATGAAGGACATATGAAATGATCTGCAGATGATTAGGATACAGTTATACTATAAGCGCCTGAAATACATCAGTATGAACCAAGACTGCCTAATGCAGCATTAGTCCTAGCTACTCTGAGTGCTGGCCTGAGCCATTGTCAGGGGGTTTTCTTATAGTAGTGTTCATTACCCTCTGAATTATATTCTTTCACCGTTAGCTTTCACCGTCACGATTATGACACAATCGCAGATTATAGCTTAGTTTTTGCCTTCTATCACTCAAAGCAAAAGAAGTAGGGGTTTGGGCAGTAGTTTCTACTTCCACTTTTGTCGTAACATTTAGCACTCACATTGTAGGCATTGACATCAAGAGAACCCAGGTTCTGAAAGACCCTTAACTAGCTTATTTTCTACTATGTTTAATGGAAAGCCAGACACTCGTGCAACTGCATATTCTAAAAACAAGAGATGAGCATCACTGAAATAGCACAAATAAATCAATACTAAAGTAATAATAACAATGAAAAAATAATAAGCAATAATGAAAATGATAATAGTAATAATATTCATAATAATAATAATAGTAAGAGTGATAGTAAGTGGTGGTGGTAGTGATGATGATGATGATAATAATAATAATAATAATAATAATAATAATAATAATAATAATAACAACAATTATAATAACACCAACAGTAAATAAAACCAAGGTTTCATGCAATCACAAAGTGTGTGGCTCTCCACACCCTTATCAGTTAAGTCAATCACACTCATGCATAGCAGAAACATATCCTGTAAAAAACAAAAAACGAAAAAGAGATAAAGTATACGATGGTAATAATGACTAAGGAAAAAAAGAAAAAGACAAAAAAAAATAATTAAAAATTAGAAAAACAAATTGAAATCATATGAAAGAGTGTGGACCTACAACATAAAAGACCCCATGCATGTGGGTATCTAGCTTTAGATAGAGAAGGAGATCTTGGGCCGCGCATTGTTCTTCCCAAGGATGATCTTTTGCTCCTCACGTGTCCGCTTTTCCTGCTCCCTCTTGATTTTCTGCCGCTCCTCATCAATCTTTCGCTGCTCCTCCACCATCTGTAGCTGCTGCTCAGCCTGAAATGAGAGCCAATGCTTTGCCGATTTCTGCTGGTTTGGTTTTCAACTTACAAGTTCGTTTTTCACCCCATTATCGACACTAACTCCCGGAGGTCCCTTTTGCACTGCATCTCAGCCTTTATGAACTTACCAATTTCATCTGGGCAATCTCTATTTTTCTTTTGTTCTCTTCCATAATTCGCTCCAGTTCCTCCCGCTGTTTACGTTCCTCCTCCTAGAAAGTAGAATGAGGCGTCAAATACGCATCAGGTGAGGTCAATTCAAAATTTTTTTAAAAAGCCAGTTGCCAGAAGCCTCTTCACTCTTTCAACCCAAGTAATATCAATGAAACGTTTTTTTTCGTTTTTTCAATCAAAGTAAATACGTTTTGCTAAAAAATGCACATTATCAATCATCAAATGTAAAAATTCATGTGGAAACCTAGATAAAAGTGAAAACTGCCTACAGCTATTCAAAAATATTAATCAGCGTTTTAAAAGACTTTCTTTTTATGTAGCACAATGGAGATGAGGATTTTCATGTATATGGCATTTCAAAGTGAGAGGTTACAGGCAACTGGCAGAGAACCACTTGAATAAATAAAGTACAATTCATGTCAAACATCAATAGTAACATTGGGTACAAAAGCAAGGGTATAGTATATGACAATACAGACTTTAAAAATAGTACTTAATTCAGAGTTAAATTTTTCTAGTAGCAAGCATGTTGAGTTACAGGTGAAAATTAAAAAAAGATGTGACCAATGTATAGGACAACATGCTTACTGAGAACACTAAGACACAGACACAAGTGATCTCACAGAAAAGGCAATACAATCTCACTTTGCTTATTAAGATAAATTTTGAGCCTTTGCTGAAAGATTTAAGATACAACTAAACCCATTAAAATGGCAAGCTTCCCACTGCTTTATAAATCTAGTACAGTACAGCAATCATTTACATAACAAAATGTGAGCTACTCAAGTGCGACATCATCTGTGTCATCCAAAGACACGTCAAAAATGGAAATCTTACCTGCTTAATGGATTTAAGATGCATCCATTATAAAAATCACTATACCTGTATATAGTTACCATATGGATGCCGCCAAATCCACTCCTAGAACAGCTCTGGCCTAAAATCCGCAGCTGACAATTCTTGGTTGCAAGCCGCCAATAATATGTCTATTCTGTTTAGAGTGATTCACCACTAAAATGCCTCATTGCCACACTGCTATGTTCGTGTGTTTCCAGACAGTTAAGAATGAACTGATTACACTCTCATTTGCACACGCACCCACACACATGCACATATGTATTGGGGAATATGAAGGAAACAAAAAAAACAAAAACAAAAAAAATGTATATAAAAAAATGTACAGGGATATACATATTTGCCAGACGATAAATAAAGTTGGAGACAGAGATTAAAGGCAGATTTCTTTCACTCCTGCATTCAACAAACTGTCTGGGGCAATGTGGTCAAACTGCAACACATACCAGAGTTTACAAAGTTTGTACATCATGTCTCTGGGAAACTTTATTGCCTCAAATTCACATTTCACTTTCAAAACACAGAAAGTTCAGCTGAAAGAGTGTGAGTTAGTCTTCATGCAAAATGGAAATTTATTGTTCTATTATCCTCATTATACAGTACTTTTACCTAACAATTTCAATTAGTGACGACTGAATAGGCTAAATCAATTTTTTTTTCTTTGTGGCTTTTCTTCCTATCAGCTTACAGTCCACATGCAGCAAAATCTAACTCTTAAGTTCACTGAAAGCCCCTCCTCCTTGATGTGTGGAATGGCACAGACAGCCAATGACCACATTCTTTTTGGTTCATCTAATGTCAGGATAGTTCTTTTCTTTAGCATCTAGTTTTATTAAAAATAAATAAAATAATGATAAAACGGAGATTTTCCCTGACCATATGGAGCCCATTCCTAGCCTGCCCTTTTGGAGTCACCAGGGATGCTCTTTGGTATAATCCCGGACATCTCTTGCCCGCCTTTCCTTCTCTAGCGACCTCCCTTTTCCTTTCATCTAACCCAAATTTATTCTCCTTTGCTTGAAACCCCCATCCTCCCCTCCCTATCAGAATACACAACAGAGCTCCTGTGCCCAAGGCTTGACAAATCCAGCAAAATATCCCGCTGAAGCACAATTCACAAAGCTCTACCTCTCGCTTCTTTTGATCCTCCTCCTGCTGCCGGCGCTTTTCCTGAAGCTCTTCGAGCATCTGTTGTTCCATGAGGCGCTTGGCCTCCTCTACTCTCCTTAAAACTTCAGCTTCTATCTCATCCCTCCTTCGTTCTAGCTCCTCCTCTACTCTCCGAGCTACTAACTCCTCCAACCTTTTGGCTGCTACTTCTTCAACCATTTTTTGTTCAGCCTCCCTCTGTCTCCTGAAAACAACAAAAAGCAAATTCTTTATTAGATACCCCTTTCATTAATTTCAAAATGTTACTACAAAATCTTTAACAGGATTTTCATTTACATACATCCATATATCTGCATATAACATAAAAAAAACACACAAACGGATTAAAGTTCTCGAAAACCCACCTAACTCTCTCCAATTCAGCCAATCTGTCCACCTCATCAATCTTTTTCTCTCTCGTTCTAGGTTCTTCATCACTGCTTGATGATGAAGAGGATGATCTTGATGGTTTGCGACTGAAAAAATATATGAAATTAATTACCAAGAATATATAAAAAGATCAAATTCCAGCTTTAGCTTTCCCTTGAAAATTAGAGACAAACACATGTGTGTGTGTGTGTGTGTGTGTGTGTGTGTGTGTGTGTGTGTGTGTGTGTGTGTGTGTGTGTGTGTGTGTGTGTGTGTGCGTGTGGGTGTGGGTGTGGGTGTGCGTGTGCGTGTGTGCGTGTGTGTGTGCGTGTGTGGGTGTGCGTGTGCGCGTGTGTGCGTGTGCGGGTGTGGGTGTGGGTGTGCGTGTGCGTGTGCATGAGCGAGCATGTGTGTATGTCAGAGTGTGGTCCCTGAAATCTCATGGAATCTAGTTCCCTGTTTTCTTGGTATACTGTAAGAAAGTATTATGTATTTCTACATGAAATTAATGTAAGGACAAGATCTTAATTAAGCTCCCCTTATATGAATTTAAATCCTCTCATGCACAACTACATATTTCTAAACTATTTCAACTTGTACTTAGGCTATCAATATTGATATAAAACAAGTTCAACAAATCAACTAAAAAGGAAGCATTTATCCTACTTTGATTTTTTTTTATTAAATAAAATTGATTTTAAAAACAAAACCTTTTGGGCAAGCTTGTAGTGAAGTGGCTTGTGTGTTTACAATGTGAAAATGGAATAAAAATTAAAACCATTTTGTCCTCAATAATTCATATACAACTATTTTTTTTTTATTATCATCTTATTTATCTATTATCATTATTCTTCATTTTGTGAAAGGGCATCTTATTCGCCAGTAAATAAAGTAATAAAGTAAATTCTGACAAATATTACTGACATTATGGGAACAGCTGTTAGAATCATGGAGAAGTATCTTAAAAAAAAAAAAAAATCAGTGGAATGATTTTGCAATATTCAAAATTATACTGCGTAAATTGAAACTCCAATGATTATGCTTACACATAGATGACACAGCAAGACTTTCCAAGGAATCAACTACTAGTTCTACCCATCTCAACTCTATAGCCTTTCCCTTGATTTTTGGATAATTTTTTTTTGTTTATAGTTATTGGTACTGATATCATCATCATAATTACAATGACAATAAGATTGATATTATTACCATTATTAATAATACTATTAATTAATAAAAATATTGTATTAATATTAATATTAATGTTAATAATACTACTCAATACTACTGGGAAAATGCTGTGCTCATTTTTTATTCTTTCTGCACATAGATAGCTCTGCTAGTGCTTAGCCACAAAGGAGTCAATCAATAGACCTTGTGACCTTACCTGATTTCATCTTTCCTTAAACTAGTGGGAAAACTTTTTTACTCTTGTACTTTTGCCATCAATATTGATGGTATTATTTCTATTATTAACATTATAATTATTATAATGTTATTGACATTACTAGCGGCAATATAAGATAACAAAATATTTTTGAAAATCAAGGAAAAGGGTAAACAGGTGAGACAAGTAGTACTCATAACTGGCTCATTGGTGACAGTACAAGTGAAGTCATCTATGTGAAAAAACAATTAATAAAGTAAACTCAAAGTGGGCACGGCATGTACTTACATGCCATGCCGGTCAGCTTTGGGTTTATGTTTAATATTAATATTACACCCTCCACAGACAAAGTCCCAAATCCAGGATAACATGCAAACCTAAAATCCAAACCTAACTTTTCCTACCTTTTATTTACTCCCTATACAGGGCAGTGTCCATTTCCCTCTTGCTCTGTGTTGCTCTCAGTAACATTAACTAATGATATGAATAAATAAACAAATAAATTAACTAATTAATTAAAGGAAATAAAATCAAGGAGTGGGGACATCAGGGGAGGTCAGGCAGACCTGCTAACGGACCTAAACCTAATGGCAATTAATTGTCAGTCACAAATTTAGCATCGGTACCTTACCAGAAAGGTACAGACCACAAATTAATTATCTTGGTATTAATTTGGATTTAGTATAATTAACAATAGGATACCAATATATTTCACTTTTTCATTTAGAGTACAGCTCCTCTGCTGTTTGTCTGTGAACTCGTATCCAAACAAAGCTGGACGTGAGAAACCTGTCCAAGTTCTATCTTTCTGAATAAATGAGGTGGAAGTTTGTTGGCCCTCGCCAGTGTCACAGGGGTAAGGGTCACGGCAATCGCATGACTTGTCATCCTAGGCAGATGCAGTCCAAGCTTCAAATTTAACCCTATTTATTTCATTGTTCCCATCCACACAAAAAACCTGTAACTACTGAACAATTACTGGTACACAACAAAGCCATTTCACCAAGACTCTTATTATTATGGTTTATAATTACTATATGAAAATCTGTCAACAAACAAAACATGCAACATAAAATATACAAACATTCAATGACACCCAGAAATTAAGAGAAACAAGACTCCCAACCATCAAAACTCCTCCTTCTCCGCCGTATCTAAAAAAACCCTATTTCTCCCACGCAATTAAACACATAAACTCGACATAGGCCTACAAAGGTGCCGGAGACCTCGTCCATAAACCAACCACCGGACTCTTTTATTACCGACTCGCCCAGCCTTCTTCGTGACAGTGACCTCCTCCCTCCGCCTAGCCCCAGGAAAATGACAAGCGACGCGGCAAAGAGGGGGAAAAAAGCGGAAAAAGCCTCACCTCGCCTTGGCCGCCCGCTCCTTGGATCGCTCTCGGTCCCTGTGCCTCCGCCTCTCCCTGTCCCTCGAGCGAGAACGCCTCTTGTGGGATCTCTTGCTCTTGTGCCTCTTGGGCGATCTGCTCCTCGACCTCGACCTGCCCATCGCCGCCGGGGGGGTCTTTCGCAGGTGCTGGCGGTGGAGGGGAGTGTTGGAGAAAAGTGCTTGAGCCGAAAAAGAGCGGATTTCGAAAGGTTGGCGAAGGTGATGTTATCTCGGGGTCGCCATTTGCTGCTAAACAACCTGTGGTTTTCGGAGCAACGCGGGGGTCTCTTGAAAAATGTATTTTGGTTTTGATTTGCTTTTCGTTAGTATAGTAGGTGACTTTCCTATAATCTAATTCTCATAAAATATATATCAAATGCATTTCTATTTTATATTTAGGTTTTGTGCGACATAACGCTGATGTTGATGATAATCTCGGAAAAAAACAAAGAATATTGGAACCGCCATCTTTCACAGACAATACAGTTTGGTTTATATTTGCTGAATTAAACTTTTTGTTTCTCTGATTTGTCTTGTAATGATCACTGTATTCAATATGAACGCTAAATGAATAATTTCATTTTCTGTACTTTAGCATAACATTCTGAAAAAAGTATAATAAAACAGAAAGTGGCAACTGCGCTCCTATTTTGGGATTCGCAAAGGCAAAATAATGCAGTTTTTTTATCAAGCAACATTGAATATTTATCATACTTCGTGGAAGGAAATAATGATTATTGATGTTAAATGTATGCATATTCATTTTGTTGCACTTATTTGTCTTTTACTGTAATTTAAACAAAGAATCTAATTCATAATTCTTTACTCCATAAGAGATCCTTCAACAATTGTTAGTAAAACTTTATAATACCTACATATACGTGGCAAGTATAAAAAAAAAAAATCCATCCGATTTTGAAACTAATATAGAAAATTGTACTGTTTTTCTTCTTAAATTATTCGTTGACATAAGTTGATAAGTATAAATAAGCATAAGCGTAAATTGAGTTTGTGGGGGTGGCAGTTGCCCCCCTCAAGGTCATGCTTGTCCCCTCCCCCAAGAGCCATCCTTTTTAACTTTACCTTTTATTATTATTATTATTATCATTATTATTATTTTACGTTATTACATCTATAGAGGTCCGGTTATAGCTTAAATATGCTCCTAGAATAGTTCATTTTTCCAATGTTCACTTTTTTCGCGAACCCATCTCTCCTCCCCTCCAAGAAAAAGCTGCAATGATGCTCCCTGTATATAAGTGTGTACGCACACGCGCGCGCGCGCGCACGAGTACACGCACACGTATTTACATATACATATTTATACATATATACAAATATACAAATACACACACACACACATATATACATTCTGAACTGCACACATTTTAGTAAGGGCATTTCAACAGTTTCTAATTGGCAGTTCGTCACTGTTGCTACTTCATTGATGATCTCACAGTTATTCCATAATCTGTCTTTATTCCTCACATTGGGCGTGTTATTTATTACTCATCTATTTATTTACGTTTTATCTTTCTATGCTATCGTTCCCTTTAATAATTTATTATGACATTGTAGAAAGGTATGACTTTTATTTAATTACTATGAAAGTATTACATGTGAATTACACCCCAATTTACACTTTAATTCCTTCTCACTGAAAGCCTACATTTTTATCTATCTACATGTATACTTACGTGTGTGTGGATGCCGTGGGGCTACAGTGTCACTTACGACACAAAGTTCTGTAAGAAAAAAAAAATAGTACAGTAATCTATGCCACATGCACAAGCTTATAGATTAGGTGGATTTGAACACGTCTATCACGTTTTCAGAAAATAAGAATGTTGAGTTTTCTAAAAATTACCCTCCGGTCCTTCAGGCCGGGCTCCCCCATAGCCCGGGTGAGGCTCAGCTTCGCATATCGGACTTATCCTTATCCGGTCCTTCCTCTGAGTGAGATACAACTCAGTTCATCCCTCTAAATATTGTACATTTTCATTTTTTTAGAGGTGTTGCTCGAAATAGGTTTGATAGTAGTGAATCACTTCCGTACTATGTATTCAAGGGATATATATATATATATATATATATATATATATATATATATATATATATATATATATATATATATATATATATATATATATATATATATATACATTATATATATATATATACATATATATATATATATATATATATATATATATATATATTTATGTATATATATATATACATATGTGTATGTGTGTATGTGTGTGTGTGTGTGTGTGTGTGTGTGTGTGTGTGTGTGTGTGTGTGTGTGTGTGTGTGTGTGTGTGTATGTGTGTGTGTGTATGTGTATGTGTATGTGTATGTGCATGTGTGTGTGTGTGTGTGTGTGTGTGTGTGTGTGTGTGTGTGTGTGTGTGTGTGTGTGTGTGTGTGTGTGTGTGTGTGTGTGTGTGTGTGTGCATGCATATATATATATATATATATATATATATATATATATATATATATATATATATATATATATATATATTCAGCGGTGCGTATGTAATTATTCATAGTCGGAACTGCCGCAGAAAACGATATGAGTAAATCATATGTAAGGGGTTTGAGGTTGTTAGCTCTATGAGAACGAAAATCCACGTAGTCTCAAGAGATACGTCGCTTTCATTTAAAAATACATGGAGCATATTTTAGATAGTAGGACCAAGACACCTCAGAAATTTATTTGTTAGAATCATTGTGAAAATAAGATAATCAGGGCGAAACAGTGATACTACTGGTAAGGAATACTATTACGATAAAACAAAACGAAACGAAAATGAAGCAAAAAGTAGATTCCAGGAGCACCAGCTATGTTTATCACAATTTTGGCTTAAAAAGAATCCATTAATCTACTTATTTTTCTTCAATACAAAATGAATATATAATCGTGATAGGCGAAATTTAAAGCACAACTATTATACTCATTTAACTTTAGTTATCCCTACAAATCTAGAGACCATTTTCTTAATATTACAGAAAACGAAAATGAAGAGGGTTAACTGTTCTGCCATAATAATTTTGTTTTTGTATTATATTAAATACTTTGAATGAAGATGTGACCAAACGTGTAGTGGAAAAATGTCTTATATGTACAGATATCAGTGTGTAAACATTATTGATAGGCACTACGAAACAGTAAGAAACAGTAACATATTTCACAGAATTACAGGAAGGTAATGAATATATTTTATTTTACAGCAAACTACTGAAAATCCACAACAAGGAGAAACACAAACGGCTTTAAATCTTGTACAGTGTGTCGAGGAAAGCATTGTTTTTTAAGTGTCTTATAAGAAAAAGGTCACATTGGTTACTTACGAATAACCATTGTAATAAATGGAAAAAAAATGCATTGCATTAATTATTTTGTAAAGGGTTTAAAGGCATGGAAAGAATATTTCACAATCCTTCCGTACACTAGTTCTATATCCACCCTTTGAACGGAGCATTGTGTATAACTTTAAGTTAATTAGTTTTGGTCGCTCTGTTACCATTAAGTTCGAAAGAAAAAATATTCATAGGCCTTGATGGAAAATAGAATTTTACTAACCTTAACTGCATACACAGTGTGTTGACACAGTATATAGATGTCTAAATAATTTAGCGAATATATAAAAGACTTAAACAATACGAAAGAAATGTCGAACAATACACATAAAAATGGTAGTTTTATACCGTTGTCTAGATACTAACGAAAAATAAATTAAGATACTTGAACTGCGCATTGCGAAAACATTGCACTTGAATAGAAATTGCTAAAAATAATTCTACACAGTTGTCAAAAACCTAATGAAAAATAAATTAAAGTACTTTGTAACTGTAGAGCAATACACTGGATAGAAAATGATAAAAGTAATTTCAAACAGTAATCAGTACACTTTACAAAAAAAATATTAAATAAATCACTCGAGGAATTCTGAATACGAAAAAAAGTAAAAAAAAGAAAAAATCCTGTACAATACATAATCCGTCCGTGATTCCCTATCAACTGTGGCAACCCTGGTACTGCGTGTTAAATGGAATTAATTAGAAATTAGATGTAATTGTAAATAGGTTTGATAAAATTTATCCACTGTTACAGACAGCAAAGTAAATCAATTGCTATTTTCTTTTTATATTCAAGATTTAAGGTTTAGGCTTAATTGTAAAATAAATAAATAAATAAAAAATAATAATGATAAAAAATAAAGCATTGTGTGTGTGTGTGTGTGTGTGTGTGTGTGTGTGTGTGTGTGTGTGTGTGTGTGTGTGTGTGTGTGTGTGTGCGTGTGTGTGTGTGTGTCTGTGTGTGTGTGTGTGTGTGTGTGTGTGTGTGTGTGTGTGTGTGTGTGTGTGTGTGTGTGTGTGTGTGTGTGTGTGTGTGTGTGTGTGTGTGTGCGTGCTTGCGTGCTTGCGTGCGTGCATCCGTGCTTGCGTGTGATTACTAAAAATTAAGCCAGGAGATTTTAATTAATCTTATTGTAATTAATATACATGACACCCTGCCTTTCATCATATTTTATTTGTAATAATAAATACCAGATAATATTGAAGAAAAGCATATTTCTCCAAAACTACTATAACTAAAGTACTAAGTAGTTCTACCTCAAGAAAAAAAAATCACTACATCAGTACCACGTCACCTCTGTAAACGATTAACAATTAGTAATTTACGATCCCGCTCAATGCAGTAAAACAATAATCCCTTGAGCTTTTCTGCAGGATGCGTTTCGCTCTGGCCAAAGACACTGGGTGAACGATTTTGCCGCACATTGCACCTGTCAGCTGATTATCGTAAACAAACTGCCCTTATCACTGAGACGTCGAGAGAAAAAGAAGAAATTATTTTTCTGATTGAGAATGTAATAAAGGCTAGAATCTGATGTAGACGATTTTTAGACCACACACATTAATTACCAAAGAAAAATAATAATAATAAAAGATAGAAGAATAAACTAAAATACAAGTTGCAACTACCTCCAGTCTTCGTCCTTTTCGCCAAGCAACGCCTCGCGAAATGTTCTGTCAGTGCGCCTTCCCAAATGAAAGCAAAATACCCCAATGCACCAACCAGGAAGCTCTTTGCATACACATAATAGATCTGATTAGCCAATCATTTGGCAGCGGTTAATGGCACCGGAAAACAACACTGAAATTCAGTTAAATTTTCATGTAATATTTTTAACTCTACCCCCCCCCCCCGCCAATCTCTCAAATAAATATATATATAAATATATAT